TGCCACCCCACTCTTACAGCATTGCAAAAGGACAGAGAAACAATCAAAATTGCTTGTGTGATTTTGGGATGTGTGGGATATTATTATATTGTGATTATTTATGCATTTCAGTGCCTTACTTTATCAGTTCAATATGTTGTGATCCCAGAGTGTCACAAGCTGCTCCTGAAGGATGTTTTCTCTCAATAAGTTCCCAACTTGCCTGGCAAATCAGTGGTAGAAAACATGGGGACAACGCAGCAGGAAAGGGGGCAGAAATTGTTTCAGCTCCAGTATTTTGTAGGCAGTTTGCTTCAGTTTGCTTTTAAGGCTTCTGACCCCTAAAAACATGAAGGGCCTTTAACATGTCATCTGAAAGTCTCCACTTGAGCTTATCTCCCTAATCACAACAAGACCACAAATGGGAATCCCAGCCCTGTGCTTGTTTTCTTGTTTTTCTCCTGCTTGTGGTCTCCAGCTGTGGTCCCCAGAGCAAAGTTAAGTCTCTGACCTGTGCAGTTCATGTGTGGGGTGTTGGGTGGAGGTTTGGGAGGCAGAACTTAATTACTGAGAAGCACGGAGAGAGCTGCATCACTGCTTCTGTTTGTTTGCTAAGAGGGTGCTTCCCAATGAATTAAAATCCCTCTGAGGACAATTTGGTGGATGTGATTGAGTGCTGTCTGGGGTGCACTGGTCTCTGAACAATCTCTGCCTTGGATTCTGGCCAAAGCAGCGATCAGAGAAAGGCTGCAGCTGGACAAGGAGCCCAGGGGTTATTGAATCACTCCTGCTAACTCCCAGCAACACATTAAACCATTTCCTCTTTGATGCTCCCCTGAGTCAAGTTTTCCTACGATGGGTATTTAGGCTGTGAAGTTTCTTCCAAGCTGTCAAGAAGCAGCACTGCCAGCAGGGAGCTCCATGCAGCGGTGCCTCTCCTTCCCTGGCTCTCATCTGGGGTTGTGCTTCAGGCTGAGGTTTTTCTACAAGGGGAAAACCAGTGGTGAAGTGCTGTGCTTGGCCTGAACTTGTTTGAGGATTTGAAGGGGAGAGCACCACCTGCTGATACGTCACTGCGGCTTTTGTATTCATCTCCCCAGCACTGGCTCCAACCCCTCCTAACTGTGGGTCTGAGTATCCGCAAAGCATCACACAGGCACTCTCCTTCAATGATTAGGATGTGCACATGCCACTTGTGTGTGCAGAGACTTGATAGGGTGAAAGAGCTCCTCATAGGTGGTATTACCAGGGAGGAAAGCATCTCCTCATCTTAGCATGAAGGCAAAGATGGGCCATAGGGTGTTCTGTGGCCCGTTTAATGCTCATGGAGGGGTTTTCCTCCAACAGCCACTTTACTTGTATCAGGCTGTCCAAAGCCCTCTGCAGGCTACTCCCTTGTGTGTGTCTATGGGCTGGTGCCCAGCCTGCACCCCTAGCTGCTCACCCTGTGCTGCAGAAGTCATGCTCGACAGCTTGTGTAGGTGAACATTGTGAAATAGACTTCTTGGATGAAAAGTAAGGAGATTTTGGATGGGCTGACAGCTTTTATTGCTGCTTGCTGTACATTTGCTAGAAGAAAAAGAGACCTTGGCTCCAGAGCAGATTTGTCACAGAATTATCTGCTGGTTTCCCCCTGCTGAAGTCCAACAGACTAAAAGGCTGAAATAGCTCTTTGCAGGGCTGCTAAGACTTGGGCATTTGCATCATGTGTTGGAAATGGTCTGTGCAAATAGCAGAATGTGTGGCTCCACTCCATAAGAAGCTTATCCTCTGCTTGAAAGTCCATTGGCCTTTGCCTGGCCCCCGGGGAGTAACTGGGATAGCAGGCACTTGCTGGTAGATCTTTGTGCCCAGCTTGCACCAAAGGAAGAACAAGGATCTGTTCCAGAAGCTGAATGGAACAGACAGGCTCCTAAAGAGAGTAGCATTAATAGGTTGAGGGATGTATCGCATGGAGAGCAAACATGAATGGTAAATTAGAGTTGTGGGTGTGAGCAGCCACTGCTCAGCCTCAAAGTGGGACTTTCAGTGAGGTCCTCCCTTCCTATTGCCTTTAGACAGGGCTGGCCCATCTCTTTCCTCATCAACTTCTCAATCCCAGCTTTGCTCTGGCCGCTCTAATGCTCCATCCTAGCAGCCCGGTGCTGACGGTGTGCTGAGCCGTACCCTGCTATTTGCTCAGCGTTTGCCCTATGCTTTTTTCCCTTTGCCCCGCGCTGCCTCAGCTAATGAGGTTATTGTGCAGCTAGAAGAGGCGTCCGCTCGCGTTTGTGCCTGGCTGCAGCTCAGAATGGAGATATTCCTGACAGTGCCAGATGGTGAGCAGGGAAAGGGACTGCAGCTCTGCCCCCTCCCAGGAAAACAGCCTGGTGGGAGCTTGCCCTCCCCAGCACTGAGTTTCTGGGGTCTGCAGCGGAGATGAGGCACTGCTGGGCAGGCAAAACACGCCAGGCTGCAGCACCGAGTCTGGGCTTTGTTGTGCCTCCAATCCTATGGTAATAAACCTTACATAAACCTAGCCAGAAGCATAGCATTAATATTTTAAAAATGACATTTAAGGTATTGAATATACAGCGCGTTCTCCAGAAGAATATCTGTGTGTGTGCGTGTGCACACTTGAGGCTTTGTTTTGCTTTTATAGTGGATGGCTGTGTGTATGTATTTTACTCGGGGTATTTGTGCTATAATAAGAAGGGGGAGGGAGCAGGAAAATACTGCTCTGTTTATATTCTCTGCTGTCAGCGGTGGAGCTGTATGGTTTAGATTCACCTCCTGAAGCACTCTGATTTCCAGCAAACAACTGCCTTCCCCCCACCCAGAGACCTTGCAGGAGGGTTGCTGAGCCTCTCCTCCAGCCCTCCCCTGGAACCTGGCTCTGGTAATGGCACGCTCCATACCCAGCATGCAAACAAGTTGATATGCTAAAGTTCAAAGGGACAACCTTGGAAAATGTCAGAGCAGACGCTCTGCACCGTTGTTCTGCTGCTCTGATCACAAAAAGGAGCTGAGAGTGCTGTAATTTGCAGGCCAGGGGCAGGGGAGGGACGCAGCAGTGTCTCTGTATGTGTCTGTGTCCCTCCTGAGCTTCTTTGACACTTTTCCTGGTTCCTTTCACCTCTGTGAGCCTTTGGAGACACTGATGCGGAGCTGAACCTGAAATGTTACTGCTCATCCATAATTTTTATAAATCTCAGATATAACACATCTCCTCTTTCCTCCCTGAGTTTTTATGTGTTTAGATTTTGTGACAGGAGTGTTTTTGTGTCACTTCTCCCTTGTTTTTTCCCTGTCTCTCCCAGCCCTGAAACAGTCAGCAGCGATGCCCTTTCCTGTCTCTTGATATAGGCCTCCAGGGACAGCTTCTGCCCATCCATCTCCTGTGTGCCACACCAGCACTGAGCCGGGGACATGCTGGAAAAGCGCTGGGTCTGAACCTGCCCTTTGATATAAGCGGACATTATGCATTTTTAATAGATGTAGAGCTCAGTGAAACCCTTAGTACTAGCTGAATTGGCACAAAATTCCCAGGCAAATAGTCTTTGGAGCTGATGTCTCCCCAGGTACCTTGCAGAAAATGAGCCCAAGGACACAAAAACGCAGCGTTCTCTTTGATTTCAGGAGCTGGCTCATTTTGTAGAGGATATGGCTGAGCAGAAGGCACACAATGGTGGTCCCCTGTGCAGTTTCTACCCAGTGAAGGATTCTGCATTGGCCATCCCAGAGATGTTTCTCATTCACCTGCAGAGCAGGTGTAGCATGAGAGGAGAGGCTGTTGCACAGCACCTTCCTTTAAGGCATCTCCCTCCATCTCCAGCACTGGCCTGCAGCTGGCCAGCAGACATCCCTGTGCCCTGGCAGCCCTTTTGGTACCCCCCAAATGAAACACCTGATGGAAGTAATAGAAACAACTGGTGAAAATCTGAGGCTGTTCCATGATGCAGAACTCCTCCCTCTGAGTACTGATTCTTTTTGCAGAAACTTGAAGGCATTTTCTTTTTGTCGTTTCCCTTTGGTAAAGTGCAAACAAATCTCTCTATACCTACATGTTACCATGGCACTGTAACCTTGCCAGATGGGAAAGAGGGAGCAGTAAGGCTGTAGGTCTGTGCACATCCCCTGTGCGACTGGTAGCCAGGAGGTGATGCTGGAGTGTGGTGGGAGCTGGAAGCAGGTGGGCAGGCAGCAGTGGCGGGGCAGCAAGAGGTAATTCACCCCCAACCTCAGGGCTGGATGTTGGCTTGTGATAAGCTGCCTAGCTGTGAGTGTGGCATTCTGAGGCATGTGTACTGTGGTGTTCAGCCATCTCAGAAATCTGCTGCTGAGCATGAGTCAGCCCTCCCTGGGTTAACTGTTAAAGAGCAGTATCAAGAGATATGATCTTATTCTGAGCCCTTCAAGCCCTTTCTTCCCTAAGTGGCCCCAGAAGAGGCAGGGAATGTCCCTAAGGTCCCACTGCACTGTCACAGCTCACAGAAGAGGGCTGTGACTCCCAGCTCCCACTGGGCATGGTGCAATTGTCCTCACATCAAGTAGTGTGGAAAGACACGATGCTAAATAAGAGGAGTTGTGTGACATCTAAGGAGCATGGCCTTCTGGTTCAGAGCCCAGGTGGACTCAGCCTGGGAGCCATCAGTCTGAGTCTGTGTGCTACAAGGCACGAAGGGTGCTGCATAAAGCAGAGCTCAGCCTGCCTTCCTGACATCCTTGCTTTCCATCTAGCATAAGTCACCACTTTCAGATGGTGCTGAGCCTCCTCACCAGCAAGACCCGTCCCTTGCACCCATCTCTTCCAGCCTCATGCTTCCCTCTTGCTGCTGAGCTGGGAGAGCATCTCCCCTCTCCTGTGGCAGTAAACTCACTGGGTGATGCCGTGAGTGAGGAGAGCAACAACCAATTCCTTAAGGGGCCATCTCAGAGCCTTCCCTGGCTTTTCTTCCTGTCGCAGGGAGAAGTGCCCCTGCCGAAGTGGAATAAATTGGTACAGACCATTAGCAGCGCAAGTCCTCCTCTGGCAGGGGGGAGGGAGGGAGCTGTCGGCACTGCTCTGGATACAAAGCAGTCAGCCACGCACTGGCTCCTTCCTCCCGCATCCCGTTGGCCTCCTCCTCCTCCCTGTTTGCACGCTCCCTCCCTCCCACGCTCGCTCCCTCTCTCATTCTTTCCTTCTCTTACCGCCACGCTGCAGAGAGGCAGACCTGGGGAACTGATGGTCCACGGAGGAGGAAGGAGCTTTCCCCTGCATTTCTTGGACAGTGAAACGGAGAGGCAGAGAGATGATGAAGGAGCGTTTTGGTTGCTGCCTGGATTAAAAAAGAATACATAAAAAAAAAAAATCTGGACCCAACAAACAAGGAAAAAGGGAGGGGAGAAAGAGGAGGAGGTTGCTGAAGGGAGCCCACTCCGGTGGGTGAACAACTGCTTTGAATCGTGCCTCTGTTCCCAGGGATTAAAGCATGAATGGGAGCAGCCTCCCAGCCACGATGGAGAGAGAAGGCGGTTCAGGCTGTGGGAATAAGGTAACTCTTGCCTCTCACAGACATTGCATGGCTGAGCTGAGCAGGACAGAGATCCTTTATGCACGGGGCTGGGTATGTGTGTGTGTATGTGTGTGTGTGTGTATGTGTGCATGCGATGGGCAGGAAGTGGGAGGACACAAGAAAGACTCCAAGCAATTTTTCTATCTCTTTTAGTGTATTTAAAGGGTGCAGAAAGGGTCTCGGGGGCTGCAGTGCTTTGCCTTCCTTTCTCAGGCTGGGTGCCTTAGGACATCACACTGCCTTGCCTGGGGAAGGCAGGCTGGGAAAAAATGCCCCTGTCTTGCCTCCAGGAGCACTGTGCTCCCAGCCTTGCCCTCCAAGCCCTGCACCTGCTCTGGGGCTCCCCTCGTGGGCTTGTGTGTGGCTCTCCAGGATCTGCTTGGCGACTTCAATGGCCCTGTGCCCCCCAGAGCCCACCCTCCCACCCTTGTACCCTGCAGAGTGACAGGAGGGAGGTGAGAGGCGATCAGAGTTGCTTTTCTCTTTCCCGGGTCATTTTCTGCCTTTTTTCTTTTTTTTTTTTCTTTTTTCTTTTTTTTTTCCAACAGAAAGAGAAGGGATTTAGGAGAAGGGGGAACTGAAATCCCTTTCATTCGTGCCAGCAGTGGTGAGAGCCAACTTTAAGGCTGCTTAAAGGGAAGAGCTTTCCAAGTGCTTTTTTTTTTTTTTGAGGGAGAGGAGATGGCTGTGCAATGCTTTGCCAGCTGAGGAGTGATCTCTGTGTCATGTTATGCTGTGGGAGTGGACTGGGATGAAAAATAGTGATTAACAGGCAGAAAGTCCATAGCAATCAATGAAGCAGTCCATAAATGATGCTTTCCCTTTGCCTGCTGAGCTTCCCTCTGACATAATTCCTGGATCTGTGACCCTAAAGGTCCTCGTTTCTCTCAGCCAGACCAGAAAGTAGAATTTCAAACCGTGCTGGGAGGTGGCTCAGCCCAGATGTTGTTTGGGAAAGCACGGAGGAGGTCCTGATGTCTCCAGCTGTGGATACCATACCCACTTCATTTCAACCCTTGCATAACTTTGAGGGTTTCTTGAGGGGTCTTCAGCTTGGCATGAGGTTAGGAGGAATTAGCTTTTGTTACTCTGCTAGCGGCGTGTCACAGATCATGTGCACACAGTGCAGAAAGTCACGAGCCCTGATGAGCTGTCAGTTGGCTGAAGAGCTTGCCTACACCTGTAAGGAGCTCACAGCCTGATGTTTGCTATGGACTCAGTGGCTGTGCAGTCTGTTTGTAGGTTTAGTGTGCTTGTCTGACATGTGTCCCTGAACATCTACAGCGAGGTGATGCCAGCTTGTGAAAACACAATCATAGACTCATAGAATCACAAGGTTGGAAAGGACCTACAAGACATCTAGGGTTGTGTGCATGCTTGCACATGAGTACTGAAGATGGGCTGTGAAAATGTGGACTGAAGCTTCCAGACGTCCTTTTGTTTTGTGAGTAATTCTTGCTTATGTGAGGACATTCTCCTGAGCCATCGAGGTGCATCTTGCTGCCTTGTGATTAGTGCTTCCCTGTATGCAAATATCTGATGGGAGTGAATTGACCAGGATTTGGCTTGAGAAGATGGTTGGGTAACCTGATAGGGTCAGGGTGGAAAAGGTGGGAGAAAATGGAGGCATGGGTTGAGGAGGGGAAGGTAAAATAACTTTCTGTATGTGGCACCCAACTCTTCTATGTATCAGCCTTAAAGCAGTGAGTGAGATGGAAGATATTCTGAAGAAGGGGTGGAGTGATTAGGCTGTGAAAAAGAAAGATACTGTGTCAGAAGGGCTAATCCTTTGGTGTGAGCTGAGAGCCTTGGAAGTGGGCAAAGCTGGCAGGGCAGTGGATGCTGCGAGAAGGGGAAGGCAGCTGAGCAACATCTTTGTTTTCCTGGTTGAATATGTTGGAGTGTACGAGAGAGGGGAGAAATGCCATGAGTGACACTGAGTGCTTTCCAATCTCATGCACCTGAGTTCTGAATCTCTCTTGCCTTCCGTAGGCATTCCAGGTGAAGCACTCAGCTCTTCGGCACAGCGCTGGGAACCTGGGGTCAGTAGTGAGGTGGTAACTGCCCTGATGAGAGCTGCTGCTTCTGAGCTGGGCTGACTCGAGGAAGGTGCAAGAGATGGGATGCAAACCTCGTGTCATTTCTGTTCTCTAAGATGGCAAAGTGAGAGGGCATCCAAAGGAAAGCTTTCCCTCTACATGCATGTGTTGGCACAGAAGCTTCCATGGGTGTTAATTAGCATCTCGATGTTTCCTGACCCATTGAGGTGGCTCATAGTGGAGAGTAGATGCTGCCTTTCTAAGGGGGAACAGTGCCCCGAGCCAGGGACAGGACTGTCACCTTGAATGTGTCACAGGCCTGGCATGGTGCCACTGGGGTCTGTGATTCTGTTCTCCTGTGGCTTTGCCCTCATCAGGACAGTGTCTCAGCTCCAGTGGTGCAGGGATTTTCTCTCCTCCCCTGACCTGCAGCGTTGTTCTGTGTCTTTCTGGTGTGCAGGGCTGTGTCAGATCAGCATCACTCCCCAACACTGCTGACTTCTGGTAAATAATTCCTCTAACAGGGAGATCTGGCCTGAGCTGACCAAGAAACCTTCCAATTGCAGAGTGTGAGCACACACTCCACTTGTGTAACGCTGGCTGCTCAGCATCACAATAATGCTTTCTGAAAGGAAAGCAGCACGTCTGCCCTTTGAATTTTTTCCAGAACCCTCACATTGCAGCAGTAGAAGTCTTGGGAAGTGAAAAGAACTGTCTTTTAAGGGACATTAGGGCAAATGTTGCAGGTTTTTTTTTTTTCTAGTGTTTCATGCAGACTTGCCCTTTGCAGTACCTTTGCTCTCTCTTGCCCTTATTTCACTGCTGCCAGTTCAAGAAAGTTGTCCAAAAGCAGTTCATTCTTCAAACAAAAACCAAATAAAAGGGGCAGATGTGAATCCACAGGAAGAAAGGATGCAGTGCTGGGCTGTTCTGCATCACTCTGCGTTTTGTCTTGCAGGGATGCACAGCATGAGAGGCTGCCTGGGTTCCCGATCTGCCTTATGTCTCCAACTCCCAGGGATGCAGCAGAGCTGGGTCAGCATCCTTCTTGGGGCTGTTGCCCTTTGTGGCTTTCTCACCCCACATTTCTTTACAGTTCTCCATTGCCAAGTGCCATGCAGCAGTCTTGAAAATTGGGTGGACCTCTGCTGTATTTTTTTGTTCAAACACAAGGCTGGAGGAGCATTTGGTGTGGCCTCAACCCCTCTATGGCAAAAAGTGTCTTCTGGAAGCGATGTCACAGGGAAGGCCCTCTGCAGTATTTTTTTCATAGGTCCTCATTCTCTGTTCTGTGTAATCTTTTATGTTTTACTTGAGGAGGTCCCGAACTGGGATATTCCAGTGATTTGTTTCCAGGATTTGTGGCAAGAGAGGTGGCCTTTGCCAGCTGCAAGGCCTTAAGAGTGAGGATGGATTCTTCCTCTTTCTCCTGCCAAACCCAGCTGCTTGTGTTTGAGTTGGGAAGCTGATGTCAGGGCTGGATTCACCTTCCTGAAGCTAATAAGGGCCTTGCTGAGTGGAGATCACAAGGTGTGGCTCATAATTAATCTTAATATCCTGATTAGACGCATGGACCACCCCCAGGTACTCTAAGTAACACAGCATATTACTCACTACTGAACATATCCTCCTACATTTTTCTAATGGGAACTCCACACCTCCAAAGAGCTGAGAGATGGGAGAACTGAAGGCAAACAGTTCCCTGTGCTGGCCAGCAGAGCCCAGCTGTGCACTGCCATAGCTCTGTCCCGCAGCTGTAGGCATGCTAATCCATGTCCTTCTGTCTGATATCTTATTTGTGCAAGTGGAATTTGCACATTCTCAGAGGCTCATAAAAATGACTGATGTGCAGAGTTATATAGCCTGTGACTGGAGCTTGCTCCCACATGTAGCTTTGCACGCCTGTGTTTTCCATTCTGCCTTTGTATAGGGAAGTGAGCTCTCTCTGAGATGCACACACCTTGCATGCTCCTGGCCCTGTCCCAGCACCACGGAGCCTTTAAGCAATTTGCCAGCTGCACTGGTACTCAGCAACCCCTCCGGATGATCCATGGGGAGCACAGTGTGATATTCTTGGCAGTGACAGCAGAATAAATAGGAAATGCTCAAGATCCCCTTCCTGCCTGGATCAGAGCTGTTTTCGTCTAGACAGGAGACGAGCTAACCTTTAGTGCAAGGCTTCCTGCACTGTTCTGCAGCAGCAGGTGATTTGTCAGCACTCAAAGGGTGTGTGGTTGCATCGGTCACTGCTGGCCCAGCTCCAGTCTGTACACTGCCTGCAGTGCTATTTATTGTTAGCTCCCCAGACGTGGTTTGCTGCGCGTGTCTGAAGCGTGGTGTGTAGGTAGGGCAGAGGAAATGGTTGTTGGTGGAAGGGGAGCTTGATGCTGACAAGAAAAGGTGAATGTGACCGTATTGAGAGTCTCCTGGCAGAGATATGGGAGTCCAGAAGAAATTCTGAGTGGACCAATCTTTAGAAATGCATACAAGCCCTGAGCTCTGATGCTTCCACGAGGAAGTGATTTATGGCTTTGCATCGAGACTGAAAACTCTCCATCCAGCTCAGGGCTGTTGTGAAGGTGTGTGTGCGCTGTGGAGCCCACTGAAGGCAGATGTCTGTTGGGCCCTGCATTCCTTCTGTGACATCTCCTGGAGACTGGTTATCCTCTCTGAAACAACAACAGCTGGTATGCAGCTCTCACAGTGAGGGAAGCGGAGCTCAGACTCTCTCCTTTCATTCCTGCCTGGTGCAATCCTGACTAGTAGGTTGGGTTGTCAGAAGAAATTGCTCTTCTGCCCTGTCTGGGAGCCCTGTCAAAGCCCAGTAGGTCAGGAACTGAGAGCTGTGGCACAAAGAATGGTGACTGCAGAAAGGTGGGAATCCCTTTGCTTACTGATGTCTGCTTGCATAGATTCAGCTGTGAAGTGACATGGGCAGTGGGAATTCGTCTGAAGCTGCATGTCCACAGCCTCAGCACCAAATCTGCAGCCAGCATGCTCTCTGGCCTCATGAGCAGTGTGAGTGGGGTGAATGGGGACAGAACCCCAGTTTCACCAGTGCTGCAGCTTGCTGTGGTCAAGGAGAATGAGACACGCTTTGCTTTGTGACAGCAGACAGGCATGTCTCAGCTGCTTTCCTAAATGCCCTGGCACAGTCTGCCAGATTGGGCATCTGAAAGACAAGGAAGGTTAATTCAGGAGAAAGACCTCCACTCTGCCTGTTTTTTTCCCCCATTCTCTCCCCTCTCCTCCAGCAGCTTCCATACAGCTGGATTGAGACCAAAAGCAAAAGGATGGATGCTGAGGCTCTGCTCTGGATTTCATGAATGGATGAATGTAGAGAGGCAAGTGGGGATTTTGAGGGGATTTGGAAGCCTGCTCCAGGATTTGTCTGGCAAGCAGAGCATTTATAATACTTCCAGCATTACGATAACATAATGTCAGCGTGATTCAGGTCCCACTCCTGTTCTTGGCAAATAGGAAGCCCAACTCCTATCACCACCAGGAGGAGAAGGATCCCATTTCTGACAGGTTGTAGTTTTAAATAACCCTGCTCTTCTCTCCCATTGGTGTTCCAAAACAAGAGCTGAGATGCTTCTGTGTGCTGCTGTGGACGAGTGGGTCTGGCTGCAGATGCATACGAGAGAGGAGCAGAGCTGCATGAGCGCTGCTGCCATGGAGCAGAGGAACACAAAGAGAGAGAGGAGAGGGTGCCTGGGCCAACTCCCACCTACCCTGGGCTGCTCCATAAATACCAGCGGGGCGCTGAGGCGTTCTGGCTGCACTCCTCGCTTTGTTTTTCCATCTGCTTAGCAGCTTCTAAAGCTAAAGAAGAAATGTGTACTGACACATTTCTGTAACGCAGGTGGGCCTGCAAGGGCCAGGGCTGTGCTCATTGGAGTCTGCAAAGGAAAGTACTTGCTGGAGACCCACTACCAGTGAGCGGGAGAGCAAAAGGCAGCAAGTGCTGGGGAATGGCATCGCTCTGAGCAGAGTAGGTGATTTGTGATTATTCCATCTGAATTCCATAGACTGTGGCGTGGAAGGTAAATTTGGAGCTGTGCTGAGACACAGCTGGCCTTGCAGTGCTTCTGGGTCATGCTCTGCCATCCCTCCATCCCTGTAGGGATGCAGCTGCAAGCCCAAAGGAAAGGCTGGAGTTTGTGGAGTGTACAGGAGGTGAGTGAAGCTTGCTGTGCCATTAACGAGGTACATTAACCAGATGATGAGGGAGCAGCCTGACAGGGCTGTTAACTCTTGTCCTTTGCTGTAACAAAGCTGTAAAACCCTCCAAAGGTATCAAAACAGGAGAGCAGTGCTGTGCTGTTCCCTGTTGAGCCCAGGATGAGAAAAGAGCAGTTTTGCAAGAGGGATTTAGCAAGAGGCTGGATGTGGTACCTGGAACCCACTTTGGCACGCAAATAAGCTGATAATTCTTCTAAATAATGCACCTTTTATTGCTGAGGGGCAGATGGAGGAGGGGGCTGTGTCTCTGAAGGAGGCAGCAGGATACATGGAGTCAGCTGCAGTCCTGCAGGCTCCTGCCGGACCCAGGGAGCTGTAGGTTCTTTGGGAGGCAGCTGCTGTGCTCAGATTAGCAAGATGCTTTGAGATAGTCCTTCATGCAGTGGTACTGAGAGCAGCCTTTTCCTTGAGACACAGCTTTCACCTTTCCAGTGGCGTGTTTTGCTTCTAATTTGGGAGACAGAAGTGAAATCTGGCACAGGCTTGCCATCCTTGAAAGGCTGCCAGCCAGTTTATGGCACTCTCTGCCTGTATGCTCCCCACAGCCTCAGTGAGACACAGGAATTGCTCACCCTTCCCATCTTTAGCTCTTGCAGTAGCTGCAGGAATGCAGTAATCCCCTGGGAGAGCCTGACTTTGGCTGTGTGACACAGGCTTGTAGGGATATTCAAAGGTTTATTCGCATGGGCTCTGATCCACTTGTATGAATGGCAGCTGGTTATGGAGATTAGAGCTACAGAAGTCACTATTAATGAATAATTTTCCCCACTGTCTTCCTTATAATAATGGTGTGTCCACAAGTCGTGACTTTAATGCATTCATTTTCAGTGAGTGTGCAGCTCCTGGAATGCCCTTCTGTAGGATTTGGAAGTACTTGTTCCTCTCCATTGGCTTCTTCTTCATTCCAGGCATGATTTTTATCAGGGAAGAGTTGCATGAACAAAAATTTGGTGCTGTCTCCCAGCTACTGCCCTGCTGCCTGCTTGGAGAATTCAACAGCTGTAAAACTGGTGGTGGCAAAGAATTTGTTACGATCCTCTGAGGCTCTCACCCTGCACATGCACCTCCTTTCTTCCTTCAATTTATCTTTTAATGATGCTGCCAGCATTATTTCTCATCTCTGTCTCGTGCGTTGTGTGCTCTGCCTGGCAGTCCCTTTTGTCTCACCCAGGCATCTTGAACCATGCTGCTCTAATGGGGAGAGACTCAGGCTGCTGAAGTTAATAGCTTATCCTGCAGCCTGCGTCATTCCTGTTACAGAGCAGCCGTGGACGATGCAGCCCTTGGTCTGTGGGGGGAAAGGGGCTGTGGTGGAGTGGTGATCCCATCCAGCCTGGGATCAGCCCAAGCACTGGCTGTGTGTGGTGCTGAGCCTTCCTGCATGCAGACAACACTGATTTCTCCCTCTCTGTCTCAACCACTGTTACAGCTCTAGCTCATTTTCAACTGAGCCAAGGAGTTTAGTAAGTTTGCCTTATTCTTGAAGCTTAGTCATCTATAACGATGACATTTGCAAGATTGACAGTTCCAATCAAATGTCAAGGGCTGCACTCGTGCTTCAAGACATTTGTTTAATTTAAAAAAAAAAAAAAGGTAAAACCAACCTAATTAAGTGTTGCATGTTGAGATACAGTGTAGGAAAGTGCAGATGTGGCCCAAGTTGCTTGAAGAAGCTTCCAGGATGCCACAGCCTGGGTTGGGCAGGCCTGGAGGGAGCATCGTGTGGTTCTGTGCTGTGCTTGCCAGTACTCCTGCCTCTGCTCTGCCCTTGGGCGTGGAATGCCCTGCCCCTCTGTCCCTGTGCTTGGTGACGGTTGTAATAATAATGATGTAATTTGCCTGGTTGATTTGCATGCAACATAATTACCACATGATTACAATATTCTTAGAGCAGCCATTACAAAACCCTCTGGTTTCTCCCTAAGGGCTTATCTCACTCCTCACCTTGCACGTGTGGCCCTGCAAGGCAGTCTGTCTGTCCATCCCTGTCTGCAGATCTCTATACGTCACGTTACACTCATGTGCTTTTAACCATTTGCATGTTAGAGATCCTTGATTTGAGACATTCTCTGGTTCATGGGGAGTGTTTCCCTGTGTCCTGGCTGTTCTGGGGACAGGTTGGTGTCTGTCTGAGAGGGTCAGGCTTATGCAGGGGATGGAGATGCTCTTATACATGGCAGGGCTGGATCAGGGAAGCAGCAGAGGCACTCATGAGGATCAGTCTTCCATAGGAGTTGCTGCTTTACTCTGCTTTGACTTGTGCTGAGAAACCATTGGCTTAATTCTATCTCAGCTTTTATTTCTCATTCAAATGGAGAAGATCTGTGCTGGGTTTGGCCTTTGGGTGATTCTAAAACTAGGAGAAATGACCTTCCCTGGACATGCACATCAGCCCATCAAATTGGTGAGAGCTGTGCTTTGCCAGCACCTCCAGCATCAGAGTTTGTGCCATTTCCCTATTTAGCCTGTGAGCTACTTGAGCCTTGCCATTCTTGTCCAAAAGTAGGCAGCTTATTTTCATCTCACCCCTACAGCAAGCTGCAGTGCAGGTGAGCCAAAATCACTCAGCCACAGGGAAGGCAGTGTCAGATCTGGGCTTGGATTGGAAGCTGGACAAACTGTGGATTTAGCCTTTGCCTTCTGCACTCAGAGTCAAACTGAGAGCCAAATCCTGCCTCCTTGGGCAGTGCTGGAATGGCTGTGGGCTGATTGGATTGACACGCAGGTTTGTTTTGCTGGTAGACACAAAGAAATCCTTTCCTTCCAAATGCCTCTCAGCTGGCAGATGGGTCACATTACCCTGACAGCTCCAAGCATGCCGGTTCCCAGGCAAGCAAAGCTTCAGTGCTTGCTCTGGAGAGAGGAGATAGGGGAAGAAGGAAGAGTGCATCATGGAAGAAGCCCTGTGCACTTGCTTTTGGCTGGCACCATGGGGTGAGGGGACCTTCTTGGATCTCAACAGTAACCAGAAATTGAAGGGAGGTAGTTTTAAAATGACCTTCCTGTTTCCAAGGAGAATATTGTGTAGGTTTGTGGCTGCACAAATGGGCTGCAGAACGGCAAGCAACGATTGATTGTGTTGCAAGCTGCTGAATTATAGTTGGGCATTTGCTTGATCATCCCAGGTCCCTCCCCACCCCCTTTCCCTACTATAGCCTGAAAGAATCGATGTTAATCCCTCAGTCCCATTAGTGACTTTTGCAGAGGTCACAGGCTGGCGGTCTCTGCGTGCTGTTTAACCCCCCCAGCACTGAGCAGGGCTTAGGATTTGAGCCTCATCTCTTCAAAGAAGCTGTCTAACGGGGATGGGAGCTGGGGAATTTTCTTTGCTTTCTACAGTTTGGGGCTGACTTCTAAGCAGAGAGCTGCATTTTTGCAAAATCTGTCCCTCAAAGCCACAGGAGTGAGAAGCTGCAGGAAATGTCATTGAACAGTCCTGTCCCTCCAAGCACTGCTGCTGGGGTAGGAATGTATTTGTACTGCACTGAGGCAGGCTTTGGTGCTGGAGGGTTTGTCACTGAGCTACACAGGACTCTGGAGCAGGGTGCAGCAGCCTGGAAGCTCAGCTCATTTGTTGCAAGCAGGCGGTGTGCAAGAAGGCAGGAATTTACATGTGGATGTGTAGCACAGAAGCTCTTCGGTTTGAATTACCTGCATGGCTGCTCTTAGTGCCTCTAAAATGCAAAGCAACCAGTGCCAGGCTCCTGCAGCTCCTCACAAGCAGTGCACGTTGGAAGTGGCTCAATGGGGTGGGAGTGCAGATGTGCTCATGGACGAAGCACCTTTAAGATACTTGGTGTTTGCTGCTGAAAAAAGAAAAATGATGGAAATGTAAGCCCTTCTCAATACATTTCAGAGCGTGCGGTGGTGGCTTGCTGCAGTTGGAGAGAGCCAGCATGCTCACCAGCTTCCCAAGGCTTCCTTTTTTCCCCTCTTTAGCACACTAGAATCGGGTTATTAATATCTCTTTCACAATAAAGCAGGATTATTTTGGGGGGAGGTGGATGGAAGAACTCGCTCATTAAAAGAAAAAGCTGGCAGCCCTGAAGTCACATCCTAGGTGTGGACTTGGTGACGCTAATGGAGGGCTCCATTGTGTCCCCCAGCTGGAAAGTTTGGTGTCAGAGTGGTGTGAGAGGTGACAGGGCCACGTCCAGGGCTGGAATTGAGATCTTACTGCAGGGCCAGCTGGGAGCTACTGTTAGGGCATGTGGCTTGCTGGGCATAGCTCTTCATGTTTGATGGCCACATCTGTTGGAGGAAGTTCCCAGCATATCTCAGCCACTCTGCACAGCCAGAATCCCACATCCTGAATTTTGGCAGTACAGAAAGATCTGGGGGTGCTGGTCAGCTGAGCCTTACTTGTTATTCTGACAGATGTTCTGGTCATTTCATCACCCAGCTATGTTATGCATGTTCAGCTTGTTAGGTTTCTTTGGGCAGAGGGAGAATGGCGTGCCCCCAGGGAGCACAGTGTTAGCCTGGCATCTTTGGCTAAATGATTCCATCTTCAGCTCCTGTGAAATCTGCTGAATGGGAAAAGAGGAACCTGTCTATCACAGCCTGACACCTCTGGTTCATTGCTATCAACCCCTTTGGACAAAGCATATGCAAAGCCTCTTATGGAGCTTTGGAATTTAGACCAATCGTGTTGAAATTGGGTCATCCTTTGTTAATGTCACTTCTAAAAATCCATGGAAGTCAGCGGTGCGCAAAATATTCAGTGTCATGCAGACCATGGAGATGGAAATAGAGTCCAGAGATACGTCTGCTTCTGACAACACTGACGTGGCCTTAGCTGAGCAAAGGGCTATTTTGAGGCATTGCTGTGTCACCAGCTTGAGAAGACTTCATGGAGAAGGACAGCAGGGCTGATGTTGGAGCTCTTTCCTCAGCACACGTTCAGCATTCACCCACAGCAACCTCAGAAAAAG